AATATATATATATATATATATATATATATATATATATATATACCGTAGGCGGGGATAAATTAATATTGGACCCGCGTCGTTCCTGGGGACCGGTGCTGGAGTGTCGACGGATCGGCAGGCCGCCGCCGCCGCCGGTACCGGGCGTCCCGCCCGGCGAACTCGCGCAGGACGGCGCTATCCGTATCTTTGGTGTCATCAGGGTATTGTCCGATAGTCGTCTACTGGTGAACGTGTTGGCAACTCGTAGGAAATTACTGTCGTTGGCCGACGGTGAGTTGAACCATCCGCCGAACATCGCTAAACACCGACAAACGTGTCACGGTTCAATTAAATCGGTTTCGTACAAACGAAACATTGCGTCCTTTATCGAGGATCGCATAAATATTATATTTCATATAGGGGAAAAGGGAAGTCATCCTCTACTTACCAGCCATCGAACTCTTCCGCACCATATTTTCCGCGGATGCCGTCGATAAGGATCCTGATCCTGCATGCAGGAAAACATCGTTTTAGTATCCGTAAACTCGGATCTTAATTCGGACTTAATTCCCGGAAGGACCGTTTCCATAAATATTGAATAAACTTAATTGAACCGTTATTTTCCTCTTCCAGTCGTGTCGCTCGAAGGAATCTGAATATTTATTAAACCGTCGCTTAGTTTCGTTAATATTTATGGGAACCGTCAATCAGAGTGCTATTTGACTAGAGGAAAAGTGTCGTAACCCTTTTAATTGTTATGGGTGTGTTAAAAAGGGAACATTAGAACCTATTGCAAATTAATTCGAGACCGTGACAAAACTTGAGAAAATTCAACTGAATGACGCAAAGAATGTTAAATTGTTTGGAAAATGATGACATTGGAAAAGACCCCAGGATCTGTTTGATATTTCTATCAGTGCTCGCACCGAAGCTATTCTTTCTGGCCATATCCTCGGCAGAAGAAGTCTTGCGTTGCTCGATGCGCAAATTCGGGATGTTAAAGGCCGGCACGTGTACGTTGTCAGTGCTGTACTGATGTCGCAGAGGTCGAGACTTGTCGGGGCTCGGTAAAGAAAGATTATCGAGCGTCAGCTTGTTTCTTTGATTTCTGCAATTTGAAAAATGGGACAGAGCTCGCACGCGATGAGCGTTATGAAAATTTTCAGGATGCGTTACATGTCGGACGATACTTGCATCACGAGATTAATTAATTAGCAGCCGCAATATTCGTTAATTATAGAGTGCACTACTTAAAATTGCGTTAAGTCGCGCAAATAGGATCTTCGTTCGGCCAGAACAATGATAACAAGGATTATCAATAACAAGAATTAATTGTAATATAAAAGATTGTTATACTTTTTCGTTGGAAAACTTTTGAATATATTCGAGCGAATAGCCATCAGTACTTGACAGTTGAAAAACTCTTTAATGATTTTACGCGTCATTAAGCGCGCGCAAATACTCGTTTAGTTTCACAACAATTATTAATTAGGCTGCCAAGGGAATCATTACGTTGTACCTACTCCCGTTTCGTTTGTTTAGGTACTTGACGCATATATTACTTCGTCCGATCTTAGTGCTAATTGCACTTGCCTCTCAATATTGTTTAGCATATCCTGCAGCACCTCTAGGAGTAGTATGAATTGCTCGAGATTCAGCTTCGGGTTCACGGTTTGCGGTAATAGAGAAGGCATTGCATGCGTCGCCATCCAATTAACTGATAATCCATATTTCTTGTCGGTCAGCATCAGCCTGTAAATATCTAAAATACGCGAATGGGCAAGAATAATTAGGCGCGAGTCTGGCAGCGGCCGCTTTTCTTTCTTCTTAGAATACATATCTGTTCCTATGGGGCAATCCTCTTTCTTCTTTCTTTTTCACTTTTCTCATATTCTTTATTTTTCTGTCTTGAGGCTAGAATATTATCTCGCGCTTCATTACGTATTAAAACGACAAAGATATATTGTCCCTGGCCGATTTATATCCTCTTACTAACAGGCAATAAGAATATTCGACTAAAAAGTTCTTGAAATTTGTCGAAATACATTTGTCTGTAGACCGAGACATGCAATGTCTGAATTCTAGTGACTAGAGTTGACTGCTTGCTTCTACAGATAGAAATATAAGAACAAAATTGCATTTTGAAACGTCAAAACGCGTTATTTTACAGAAAAAAAACATGATTTTATATTTAAATTATAGCAAACACTTAATCGTTTTTTCCAGCTGGATAAAGCAAGCAGGTGGTCGCGATTTGACGCCGGAATAAACAAACGTATTCTGTTAAAAGTGTGTTCGTGAATTCATGTGTAACCGCCTTACTTCACTTACTTACAACCCGCACGACGATTTCGGGTTCTTGCAATTTGACTTTACAGAGCAGCGGTAGAATGCAATCGATGATCTTCTGCTTCTCAAGACGGCACAGGATGCACGGAACCACATCCATCAACACCCGAGCATTTGCTGAATTGTTCTCGAAGGCGTCCAACAGTTTTGGTAGCACCACGTTACGTATGGCGTCGTCCTCGAGATAATTCGTTACATGCGCCACGGCCACAAACGCGGCCGTCTGGCGGACAAACGAATCAATTGTTGGTACGACAAAATTTTTTAATGGCTTTGCATATTTATGGTATTTTGCATATTCACGAATGGTCATCTATATCTATATCTCATTGAGATCGATCATTTACTTACTCGCACTTGAACGGTCGAGTTTTCGAAAGACATGTATAGCATTGAGAGTACTTCTCGCTCGTATTCCTGAGGCGTTTTCTCGAGGATGATGTGCAGATTCTCCAGCAGGGTCACGGTTCCCTGAATCGACTTTCGATTGGTGAAGAGAGGTCTGTGGGAGAGAGAGAGAGAGAGAGAGAGAGAGAGAGAGAGAGAGAGAGAGAGAGAGGAAGAGGGAGAGGGAGAGGGAGAGGGAGAGGGAGAGGGAGAGGG